AGTTTTCTTGCGTTCTATAAATCTGACAAAATTCGAATGCGCTGAGATAGTGAGTATGGGGGAGTAGTAAATAATAATGTTAATGTCAATGATTAATATATCGATATGAAGGAATTCATTTTTTAATCCATACAAGAAGATTATCATCTAAATTTAGGTGGCATTCTTGATACTCGAGATATTAAATGGTTGTTAATAGAAGGAATTAGTTGTAACATTTTACTCGATTTATTTTTTAATTGAATTTGATATCTGTTTATTTTCGAAGCATTGCGTCGTTACTATTGATAAGATTGTTCCACTTTCAAGAGTTAAATTAAGTATTCTTAACTGGCAAAGGAATGTTTAAATTTCAAATGGATTTGTTTGCTGAATTTGCTCTGTGAACGATCTTTTACAGTTATTTATCGCAGAAACGTTAATTGACGGTCCGCATATGTTTAGGCAAACGAAACCGCCAAATGCCGTCATCCGCAGCGAATGCGTTAAATAACTGCCACGTAATGGTTCTGTTTGTAATAGCGGTCATACTTTTTCGTCAATTCTGCACAATGCAAGATATTATTCAATTCAATGTATTTTCTTTCGATGTTGTAACTTCATGAGTATTAGTAGATGTATATATTAACACGTTGAATGCCACAGAATTTCGCGGAGCAAACTACACAAAATGAAAACGGACATAGTATTGAATTATTGAATTGAATTGCTTTATTGTGATTGCACGTTTATATTGTCGAATGTCACTGCACTAGGTAATATTATTTACAATATAGAAATGTTTCCAAATAGTAACTGCTTAATTCAGTGAATTATAGTGATCTGATTTAGTTGGGGATCACTGGCGACCTCATGGCATTTGACGTGTTAATAAGTAAGCATAGTTATACTGATTAATTCATTCATAGCACTAAAAATCGAATAAAACACAACAAAACTACTCGAATTTTCAAAAGGACATTGTACAAACACTTCTATCACATTTATCTCACTACACAATAATAACAGCCGAGTCGTTGTATTTCAATTTTGATAAAACGAAGTATATCTTAAATAAACGTTATATAATCATTTCATTGTTAGAACTGAATGACATTGATTTAACGAATTACCTCAGAAGAAGTAAAATTTTCAACAGATAAATCTCATTTTTAACCACATTCGAAAGTACAGATCGATATAAACAAAAAGTGTTATCGATTATAAAACAAAGAACAACATTTTGAACTTCGGCGCGCGCTCTGAATATTTCTAACACAATTCTACTTACTTCGTTTCCCAAACTTATTTCATCCGCAAGGCATTCCGTTTCATGGAAAAATGAACGTGTCTCGTTGAAATATTCCTTTTATCTCAGACGAGATAAGACCTTTAACAAACCGAAATTAAAGAAAAATAAATCTTAAAGATCTAAAACAAAATGATGCGAAGCAAATTGCTGCTTCGCGACTCGTTTCAAGTAGTGGCCTACAAAAACGCGGATTTGCATGAACATCCGCCGTCTTACTCGTTACACGTTCGCACGGATTTTATTGCGACGAAATATCGAACCGCGGGGACAAAATGGAACGGGAAGTCGCATGCGACGGCGGCAGCAGAAATAATTTGTCCCGCGCTCGATGCTCACTAGAGGATCGGCATCGACGAGAGTCCCGGGCGTGCAATTAAATCGCGAGATGCTAATCGCGCCGGGAAGGAGAACGCGTCTTTTCAATTAAGAAACATTTTAAGGTAACGGAACCCAGCGCCGGGGAAATTTACGACGCGAATTTGGGAGCTTGCTTCCTGACAATTGGTGAACTTCATTACGCCATATAACGCCGCCACTCTTGTTCCATTCAGATCTATCGTGCAAACTTTAGGCTAAAGTGGATCGCGCCGGTTTATAAATAGGATTCGAATCTGCTGTGAATGAAACTTCGAATTGCTTCTCTTTGAGTACATTTGAATTCGCTCTATAATGTCCAGTGAACTTTAATATAATAATCTTTTCCACTCTAAGTACTTCTTACAGGCATTGCCAAAGTCTGACGTTGTACTTGAAGTATGTCTCTCAGGTACACCAAGAATATACTGCACTGAAGATTGAACTGTTTGAATTTACAAACTATTACCTTTTAAATTTTACACACAGATTTCTCTTTGAAATAAATCATGTATTACATGGCTAGACAAAATCAAAAAAGTCCCAGCTGCTGACAACTTTGGCCGAGAAAAGTACGAGTGCAAAAGGTTAATACTATTATTGTTCTGTTTAACAGGTTAACGGTGGCACTGTGATTTACATTTTTTCCCATCTGGGGATATTCATAAAATTATTGATATTATCGAAATGATTAATAAGTTAGCATTAACCGTACAGCGAACCGGTCGAATGACCGGTTTTAAAATTTGATTGAAAATTGTGCGATTTTTTCTATTCGTTTAACTTTATATCAATTCCTATATTATCCGATTAATCAGTCTTTCAATTTTTGTCGTCCTTTTTGTTTCTATTTCCACCAAAACAAATTGATCATCTAACATGTTTATATTTCTTTTGCAGCCAGTTATTTGACCGGTTACGATAGAAATAAGTATGTACAAAGTACCGGTACGATTAGTGTTAATTAACACGTTTCATGCCACGTATATTATATCGATAAAGTAAAATATATTGATTTTTTAAATAATATATTAAATTATATTTAAGTTCTTGATGACTTTTATACATTTTGATATTACTTCTTTATGTTTCTATTGCTTTGTAACGTATACTGCTATCCGTGGCCATATATCTCATAAAAATATTATCTTACAAAAATTACCGTGTACCATATGTGACACACGCCGACATTAACGTATTAAATCTGTTATAATCAATTTTCATTGATTACATCTGTAATTGGTAAAATTAACACGTTGACTGCTACGAAAAGCGTTTTATGTACCACTTATTTATTCTGTAATACACATAAAAGAAAGGATTATTAATTATTTGATATCATAATTCTTACGTTACACTATCGTCTAGTTTTTTTTTCGTTGCTGAACATTTTTGTTCGACATCAGTTATCTTAAGAGTTAAAATTATGCTCTTGTTATTTGGAAGTTACCACCGTGGTAGACGTGTCAAAGGACACGGAGCAGTATACAACATCAAAGTTACTTATATTCGAATTCACTTGTTGGCAATTAATAGATCTCGTTTTGGTAATATAAAAACTTCTTTATAAACTTACGTTACATGGACTTTTGTTTGAACCAACGCACATTTATCATTGGTAGTTCTCAGGAACTGTAAGTACAACAATTATAATGGACTTAAAAATCAAAAAAAGTAAAATAAAAACGGACGAAGTAATATCATACAAATAAAAATATACATCATTCAAAGTACGTACTAAATGCAATCTACTTTGAATACTTCAATATTACCTTTCTTTTAACCAGTTAACTACGTTCGACGAGTATACACGTCATCTTAAAATCAAAATGATACTAATTCTTTCACCAATGAATTATTTATTTTTTCAGATAAACAATAATCCTTCTTTGTTTTGCTTTGGTTTTTCATTAAAATATATCCTAGGTACGTTCGTCCTGCATTTGACGAGTACACGCTTCATTTTTTTATTTTATTGCGCGCAAAACGAGAGATTTCTCAAACTAAATTCTGCAGTTAATAAGTTAACGCATGATATTTGTCGCAATTCAAATTATTTCATGTCGATGGTCTAATTTCAATAACAACGATACAGTTCAACGAGACTCTGTCGTAGTTTGTGTCACCTCGTGATGGAAGGAGCCTAGAATAGATGCAGACCTTAAGCCAAGGATCGAACAATGAATCCTCATTTCATTTCGGCTGGCTGCCCAGACCTTTTTTTATTGCCCTCTTGGCTTACCAGCTCTCGCAGGTCAGGTCCTTCCGGTTTTCGTGTTGTCTACACCTGGACGAATTCCAGGGTTCCGCCGGAGTCAGCCTTCGAGACTTTCATCCTCACGGGGCCGAGCGAAGGTCTTTTCGTCTCTCTTAGGATCCCCATTGTTCGATCTTGGGTCGCAGTAAAAGTTCCTCTGGGTATTTGATTTCGTGACCTGCAGTATTTGTGGCCGCGGAAACGTTTCCAAGTGATCAATACACTGACGATGAAATAGCGGATTCGAAACACGCTCTACTTTAGAACAGCGGTTTTCAGCTCCTTTTTTTTATCATGCGCCACTGCAGAGAGAACATTTCATATTTTAACCCAGTTTACGGGTATAGTAAATTAAAGGTGCAAGCTTCGGGTGATTTATAATGTTTACTTGATTACTGTTGACCAATGCTACTATTTGTACTGTTCGTTTGATTGCGTGTACTTATTTGCATGCGGAAATATAGAAGAGCCTGCTCAAAATACGTATAAATTCACATAAAGTGTAAAAGTTTACGTATAATATATCTTCATAAAAATTTTAAATATTTTATGTAAAATATACGTTTATACCTATAACTGAGACTGATTTGATTCAAATTTTGCATATCAGTAGTGACACTGATTACATGCAATAAATTTTTCACTGAAGTTTACTAGGCTAAAGACGATACTGAAACTACAATTTTGTTATTTTTAATCTGTAACTTACATTGCCATATAGAGAGTCACTTCTTAAATTTTCTTTCTTGTCCCTGTGCCAGTTTCGCTCGCGACTAACATGTTCGCGACCAGCGTTACGTATATGTGACAACCAGCATTTTGTATCTTTCATAAGGAAAACTAAATTACTTTCATATATATTTGTATATAAAATCATGAAGCATAATGTAAAGTATGGAAAGTTGATACGATTCTTTTCTTGAATTTTATTTGCATTTTATAAAGAACATACATATGTTGTATTCAATAAAATATTGTGACTATGAAGACTGCTACTGAAACAAACGCTGGTCGCGAACGTGTTAAGTCATGGACGAACGGTACCAGTTGGATAAAATCCAGAGCCTACGTTCAACCGTTCCTAACGATGTGTTTCAGATGGAAACCGAGGTGCGAACGCTCAAGCAGGAGCTTGTTCGTACCCAAGAAGCTCTGAAGGCTGCTACGAAGAGGTGCCGCGACCTGGTGAAAGAACTGGACAATCGCACCGCGAGTCATGAGTCCGAGAGAAGCCTCCGTGACCAGCAACTGTCGCGAATACTTCGTGCCCTGCTCGTCCTGGAGGCGCGGCTCAAACAGGAGCAGAAATCGATCAGACAGCTGCTCTGCGAGAAGGACAACGTCATCAGGAACCAGCAGCTCGAGATCGCGAGGCTTAGGCGTTACACGAAGAACTACATCAAATGCAAACGAGAGCAGACCCTTGGTAAATCCGTGATGAACATGGAGACCGCGGCTACGATTGAGGAATGCCACTTACAGTCGTCCAATGTCGAAGTGAGTATGAAAACTTCGTTGCTAATATGTGAGGATTGCGAACGTGACTGTAGGCGAATTGGAAACAGTTTTATAACCGTTTTACGTGAATATTTGATAGTCAATTTTTTTTAATGCTAATGTATATAGATTTTTTTATATAAATTGAATTATCTTTTCTGCCTGCCAAAAAATTCCTTGGTAAACCAGTTGGAAAGTTAATTACTTCGCAAAATATTTTAAACGAAGGACGTTTTAATTATGAATTTAAAAAATTTGTTGGATAAGTATCTGACTATTTACTCGTCCATCCGAGAATGAAAATGAATCCTTGTCGAGAACAAATTTAAGAAGGAATGTCCTGATTTTAGGCGGACCTTAGGCAAGACAATAGTATTAGCAAGGACATCCAGACGCTGAAATGCGAAATAATCACGAAGCTGAATCCGTCGGAAGTACCTGTTACGCTCGAGGGGTTGGACAGGGGAGTGAAAAAGACCCACAGCTTCGCCGGCAGCGATATCTCGAAAACGAGTCTAACTAGTAGCGAGAACACGGACGTCTCCATTATCACGACTACCACCGAAGGCAGTCCGTCGTTGCTCAGCACAGAGGGTTTCTGCGAAGGTGAGAGCACGGACGTCTCTCCAGGTTCGACGCTGAATAAATCCAGCAGGTGTACACCGACTCTGGTAACCGATAGCGAAAACGAGACCACGATGATATTCGATGACAACGACGATGAAGAAATCATGATCACGGAGAAAAGCTCAAAATTGGTGAAGAAGAAGACGGGTATAGGCAGATTGAAACCTCAGCAAGCTTGCAAAGAGACGGAAGTGATAGAGCCAACGAACATCGCGAGGACCGAGAGCAAGGATGATGGAATGGACTGTAATTTTGCCTCAGAAGACGAGGAAAAGGAACAGGAACCCATTTACGTTAACGCCTGCAACGAGACTAATACTAGGAACTTGGAGCAAGCTGAGAATATCGTGTCGGAGCCAATGAAAACGAACGAGGATTATAGTAATAATAACAGTAATGATGACGGTGGTAATAACAACACTCATGAAAATAGCATGTGAGTATTTTTATACGTGCAATTTTTGTTAGTATAATGCGTCTAATATCTTTCTCTCTAACAAGAGAAAGTAGAATTTGAAAGAATGTTTAGTTAACTTATACAGTTTAGAGTAAAAAGAATTCATAATTATCGACATGCTTTTAGCGATTATCATATATTATTCCCATGCTAAAGAAATTATTCTCTCGTATTTTTTTCTAATTTGGTATCGAGCTTCTGTCAATGCATTAAGCACAATTTGGAAAAGAAACAGTGGCATCTTTTCAAACACTGCCAAATCACTAAATATTTATCCTAAATATCACGTTAATTATAATTAACAGACATTTCGGTAATAATGCATTGAACCTAAATCATCTTTTAATACGATTCTTTTCAGAACCCAAAAAATGGAAATTGAGGAACAAAACGTGGAAGAAACCAGCGGGAACTGGTACAGCGATCCAGACGAGGATAGAATTAATGACGACGTTTTTAGGCACAGCACATATCGACCAAATAGCAATCATAATTCCGTCTTGGAATGCGTGAATCAGATTCTTTTGAGAGATATGGAAGAGGAGGAAAGCATTCTTTCTGTACCTAGAAGATTCAAACATCGAGCAAGAATTGTTCGATTTCAACCAGCAAGATTGTCCGACATTGAGTCAGTGGGCTCGGAAATGGAAAGAAAAAATTCAGAAGAACCTATCACAGAACAAGAAGTACCAACTACTGAATTCAACGATGTCCCTGCAAATAGTTTCGAGCCTTCTGCTACAGAGGATGAATTTGGAATGAGCCTTACCCAAACTGTTCCTACGAATGTTACTACAAAAATCACCAGTCATGAGGCAAGTCTGGAAGATGATTCTGAAGAAACAAAAGCTATTCCTATTATAATAATAGAGCCAAAGGTAGAAGTTGAAGAATCAAGGCACACATTCCCCTGTTCACAGGGACAGAAATCAAAAGCATCAGTCAGTACAACAAATCCTCCTTTGAAGTTAGAAATGATCGAGGAAAAGACTTGTTTGCAAATTTCTTCTAAGGGATTGACCATAGCAAAGAACCTTGATTACGAAGACATTGAGTCTCTCCCGGAGATCATATCGCCTCCTCCTAAAACACCACCGGCGTTACCACCTAAACCGCAATTCAAAAATAATACGTTAATATTGAAAAAAATTCCTAGTCCCTCATTTCTGATCGACGAAACACGGAAGAAGCAACAGTTGCTTGAATCTGGTTCATCCGAACACAGTAAAAAAATTTTCGGTTTCATATCCTCCCCTTTGAAATCGGCAGGAATAAATATAACCTCTGCAAGAAGTTTAAATTTCGAAGAAGACATTAATAAAGTCACAGGAACGAACGAGGAAGGAAATTTCTGGAAGAACAGGTTTAATAATGTTCGTTCTTCTTTCCAAACACGACAAAGTAGTCATGAAACCAATGGACAACAAGCCAGAAAAGTACCAAGGGTGACTAACATTGTCCGCCATTTTGAAGAATTTAAAATCGGTGGTGAATCTGAAGAACAAACGAAGGAAAGGAATAAAATGAAGGAGAAGCATGTTCATTCCGAGTTCGACCAAGAATTCGACATTAGGCAAAACTTTGAAGAGTTCAATCTTGATGAGTGCAATTTATCTGATGATCCTGATAGGCCAGAAGGCGATGGTTCAGAGAGGCTCGGCAATCTTGGGACCACGGTTAATCAGAGCGAAAAAACTGCCACAACCAAAGACAATAATAATGTTCCTGTTACTACAACAACCAATTTGAGTAGCGGTTACGATCACTTCCTGGAAGCAACGGGTCTGAGTAATAAATCTATATTGACACCCTCAAGGTTACTGAGTAATCACAAAAGTATGCTGAAACCGAAAGACGTGAAGTATAAGAATAAAATTAAAGCAACCGCTGTATTAGAAAAGCATGGTGTTTCTTCTACCAATAATACTACTCATGTTAGACACTGGACTGGACCGTTTGTCTGACGACTGGCCCAAGTTTTCCCGACAAACCTATTTCGACAAGAAACTTGTGATGAAGGGAGATAATTAATTTATTTAGAATAATTACTCCCGTGATGAAACTGAAAACAAATAAGGATTACGAACTGTAATATGCGAATACAGTTTATCCTTAAATTGAATATAAAATATAACACTGTAAATTATTATGAATATTCCTCTTATAATGCGATGCTTTTCACATTTTTTGTTTCATGAAAAATGTGAGAGACATAGGAATTAATTTATTTATAACAGCTTCCATTTGAAAAATATTTCGATGTGTTGTATATTTTAATAAGATATTTCTTACATATTTATAACATCACTAATGAAGATAGTAAATGAAGCAATTCATAGTGACTTATTTTAACTTAGCTTTTCTTGCTGTGAGATCGCGAGTAAATTTGTTTATCGCGAATAAGATTACTTATAGAGACGGCAACTTATAGCGGGAACATTTCTTGTTCCGTTGTTTTCTACCATAGAAATATCAAGTAATGGAGAGTCGTATATATGATTATGAAATAAAATATGAAGAATGAATGAAATCTGTGAGATATATTAAATGTTTGCATTTAAATCGATTTATGACATCATAATTAACCTGTAATTACATTGTTATTACATACCGTATGTTATGTTTTGCTGAAAGTGAATGATCAAATTTCAAATAGTAATTTAATCTGTATAATTTAATGTGTATATACAAGTATACATTTTTTTCTGTTATTACTTCGCCTTTGGAGCAACTAATTACGGGTGAAATTTCTATTTCTCAGTGTAAACAGTATAAAAACAAAGTATATACACACTATACAAGCATGAAAGTGCTGTACCCTACTAATTATATGTATTGATACAAGTCAACTTGAGGATAAAAATAAGAATGTACTTGTTTTCTTTTTTGTTGGAAATAAAATTAGAGATGACTTTATTGAAAGAATCTTGCATTTGATTAAGAAATAGGAGTACACCAGTACAATCTTAAATATTCTGTAATGATTTATAAACAACTAGAACATATGATACAATCATATATAACTTCTACTATCTATAAAAATACAACGCAACTCTATAAAAATACAATACTAACTGTCACTGGTATCAAAATCTAAATAGGACATGGAAGAAAAAAGTATATCGCAAAATGGACATTATTAAATTCGAACATCATCCCACTGATACATATTAAAAGGATTCCATTTTCGCGGGTTAGTAATCACTCGTTCAGGCACTCTATTACACTTGGCTAGTGCTATATTATCAATACGAATGTATAGATATAGCTGTAAAATTGCATGAAGAATCATACAATTAGTTTGGCACAGTGGCTTCTTCAAGTTTCTCTTTCCGCACGAAAATCGTAACAGAACTGAAAATAAAACCAAATATATCATATAGTAAAGGCGTAATTGTACTAACGTGTAAATGATACTAATTCAATTTTCATCTTACTTCCTTGTCCAAGTCTTTCTGGGACCAGACTTTGATCACAGGAAGTTTATCCTGTAAATGATGTAATCGTTAAAAATAGATAATAATCTATTTACAGCTTAACTGTTAAGTTTACTTACAATAGAGGAATCAGAATGAACACTTAAACGTGGATTAAGGACGAATGGAACTCCATCCAAATCTGAAGACCCCGGCAATGTACCATAAATTGATGTGGCCCCTGCAATTGATGTTGTAGGTGGTTGTGGGGCTGGTCTCGTGGGCCTGATCTTTGCACTAGGACTTAAAATTTTATAATCTCTGTCGCTAGACTCGTCTGCGTCCTTTCCCGCATTTCCTCCAATTTGTGGGTAAATTCCATTTGTTGGTTTTGGTGAGAACTTTGGTTTTGGTGGCCTTTCAGGAGCTATTCTATGTGGCATTCCATTTGATGGATTCGGTGATGCATTTTGAAGTAAACTGAATAAAGTAAAATGATAAACGTTATAATAAATAAATATTCACTTAAAAGTTAGATTAAAAGTTAAATATTCGGTTTATAATTATTATCCACATGCAAATATGTTTTTAACTATTTTTTAAATGGAGTTGATATTCACTCTATATTAACATATGATTGCGAGCTGGAATTCCCATTTGCAATATCCACAGTTTTGTAGCAAACACAAACTCCGTTTATGACACTAAAAAATTGATAGTTTAAATATGAAAAACAAATGAATATATAAATCAGCTTTCTATTACAACGTTAAAAATGTTAGTGCTTACCCAGCAGCTACAAAACCGTTTGGAGCCATTTTAGACGTATATACCTTATGCATAACCCTACTACATATAATAATATCTGTAACTGCTTTCGAACATAATTCTTTATTTCTAATTTTATAGCACAACTGTTTCTTTCTCCATGCCTTTTGGGCTAAAATCGATTATTAAAATGTACTAGGCATAAATGCAATTCCAATAAACAATATTCTGATCAGTCTTACGTATGCTCACTTGAATCTACAGTATATGAAATCGTGCGGAATCCCTCTGGAGGAGTATCTCGCTCATTAATGACTGCTAGATCCTCAACCACGCAATGAGGTAACCCTTCAGACTTTGAAAAACATATATATCGTCCTTTCTTTTTAATAAATAATCCACTTTCTCTCCATAAATCAG